TGGTAGCTCAGTATCCAAGTGGCTTCCCTAGTAAGGGAAACAGGGACTGTTATTGACATAAACTCAATGGCTGGCTCTTTGACCTCCTCCCACCTCCCAAAAGAGGAGCAGCCTTGCTAGGCCACAGAGGAGGACATTGCAGCCAGGCCTGAAGATACCTGGTAAGCTAGGGTCAGATGGAAGGGGAGGAGGACCTCTCCTGTCAGTGGACTTGGAAAGGGACAGGGAGGATATGAGGGAGGGAGAGAATGAGGGAAGGGGCTACAGCTGGGATACAAAGTAAATAACCTGTGATTAATATAAAAAAACTAAAAATTATTAAAAAAAGAAAGATTTTTTTTAGCTGAACTGGAGTCATATCACTTTTCTTCTCCCTTTGCCTTTCCAGCTTTTCAGTAGAACCCTTCCTCAGTCCCTCCCCTATCTTCACCACTCTCAAACCGATAGCATCTTTTTCTTTGATTATTACTGTTGTTTGCATATATATGCGTGTCCAAATATATAAATTCAACCTGCTGAGTTCTAATTCATTGTTTGTATGTATATTATTTCATAACTGACTACTTTGTTTTGAATAGCCAATAAGTGGACACATGCCTGGGAAAGAATAATTCTCCCAGAAGTCCTTAGCTGCCTATAGTTCTTTGTCTAAAGATGGCTCCCACTGAAAAATTTCTCCCTCCACATTGGCATGATTTTTTATATTGCCATTGTTCTAGTGTTGTTTATGCAGCCCTTTCTCAGAAATACTACTTCACAATAGACTTCCTGATATTCTGGCTGCTATAAACCTTCCATTCCCTTTTGTGTTATGATCCCTGTTGTGAGAGTAAGCTTTAGTGAGGAGTGTTAGCTATAGTTATCTGTTGGTAAGATCTAAAATGTAGTAAGTACTTATGCTGGTCTAGCATAATTTGTGGTTGGCTAAGTTTCTAGTACAAAGCATGATTTTTTCAATGTTGAATGAGCCTCACGTCCAACTAGACAGCTTGTGGTTACTGCCAACATGTGAATACCACTTACTACAATGTTAGGAATATCTGACTGTGTTCCTTGCGGATGATGCAGCAGCACAGGACTCTTAATTGTTTGCCTTCCTTGGCAGCTTAAATTGTACTTTTAGGTACCAAGGAAACTAACAACAGGAAGAAAGCTTTCAGCTTATATCCAGCTCGAATGATCAGAGTCCTGTGTTCTCAGTCTGTGGTATGTTCAGCAATACGAAAGGAGGAAAGCTGAATTTATATATGCAGCTTCTAAAGTAGTAAAGCAGTAGTTTCCCATGTTTTTTTCTTTCCTTTTCCTTTCAGCACATATTTATTGATATAAAATCTAGCAAAAGCAGCAGCTTATATTATGTGCTAGATCTTATTTTGTTTTTATTTTTATTTTACATTTTATATATATATATATATATATATATATATATATATATATATATATATGATTTTTTGTTCAGTTTACATCTCTGTTGTAGGCCCATCCTTTCTCTCTTTCTGGTTTAACTTTTTTATGTTTATGTTTTATTTGCTCTCCTTCTCCAGTTTAACTTTTTATGTCGCATTATTCTCTTTAACCCTTTATATCAGTGCATTCTGTCCTCCGTCCTCTATACATCTGTGGTAGCTTGCTGATTTTTTTTTAACTTTTCTTGATATCTCAAATGCATCACAAATATAGGAAGATTCAAAGGCAATATATGCAGATGAGAGAAAACATATGGCATTTGTTTTTCTGGGTTGGGTTACCTCTTCTGGTTGCTTCTACCTTCATCCACTTATTTGTGGATTTCATAAAATCTTTTTTCTTAATTGATGAATAATATTCCATTTTGTAAATATAACACATTGTTATTATCCAACCACCAGCTGATCGAGGCATCAAGGCTATTTCCTTTTCCTTGCCATAGTGAGTAGAATAGTGATAAACATAGATGAATAGGTATCCCTATAATAGGGCATGGATTCCTTAGGTATATACCCAAATTTGGTACAACATGATCATATGGAAAATACAATTTATGGTTTTTTGGAGGAAACTCTACACTGATTTCTATAGTGGGTGTACCAGCTAGCATTCACAATAGCCATGAATAAGTTTCCTTTTCCCCACATCCATGCCAACATTTGTCATAATTTGTTTTTGATATTCGTCATCTTTCTGAGGGCTCACCACACTGATTTCCATATTGGCTATACAAGTTTGCACTGTCATCCGCAATGGAGGAGTACCGTCCTTACTCCACATCCTTGCCAGCATGAGCTGTCGCTTGTGTTATTAATCTTAACCATTCTGGCAGGAGTAAGATGAAATCTAAAAGCAGTTTTAATTTGAATTTCCCTGGTGGATAAGAATGTCGAATATGTTTTAAAAGTGTTTCTCGGCTGTTTTCATTTTAATGCCTGCGAATTCTTTATCTAGTTTCATGTCTCATTTGTACTTTCAAAAGGCCTAAACCTCATTTTTGTAGACTAACTTGTCTCCATGTCACAGAGATCCTCTTGCCACTTGCTCCTCAGTGCTGGCAGTAAAGGCATGTGCCACCATCCCTGGTTATGAATTCAATTTATTTATTTGGAAATTTAATATCTCTTTTTGAATCTATCAGGAAAATATGTCTGTAATTATCTTTTTATAAATTATGTGTTTCTCTGGCCTGTTATTCAGGTACTGTTGACTTCACAAATAAATTTTAATCTTTTTGTCTGTTCAGATTAATTTTTTTTAAAAAATATATGTATGGGTATAGGTCTGAGGGGTGTGGATTAGCACATCAATGTATCGGTCAGAAGAGGGCATGAAGTCCCATGGAGCTGGTGGTACAGGTGGTTGTGAGCTGCCTGGAAATTAAACTAAGGGCCTCTGCGGCAGTGGTTGATACTCTTGACAACTTAGTTATGTCTCCAACAACAGACGTTATTATTATTTTTTAAATTGTACTGTGGCATTAAGTTAAATAGGGAACGCTCTCCATAAGTAGCTTTGTTCAACCATTCTTGAGAGTGTTACTAGGTAGGTAATGGTGGGCAAATCATAGTTGTTAATACTTTGGTTAATAGAACTACAAGATTTAAGATCTGGTTATTTCATCACAAGCTCACCATAAAACCTCACCAACATAACTTCCCCAATGTGAGCTGAACAAGGACGATTCCAATGGACATGTCAAAGTGGATGGAGAAAAGCCCACCAGGCCTCAACCTTACACAAAGATCTGCAGACAATTAAGGAAATCTGAGAGCAGGACAGGCAGACTTCCCCAGAGAAGAACATACCAATTGGCTGTCCAGTGCCAAATGGTCATAGCTGAAAACATACATACAAGTAATATTATACTATATATGTATATTACTATATGTTATATAATATATGTATTCCAAAACATAAAAAAAAAAGATCTGGTTATTTGACATACGATGAAAAAGAAAAGAAATAAAATCTAAGGAAACAAATTTGTGTCAGGTATTGATTTTGAACCACAAATACAACATGGCAGTCACAATGAGGAAACACTTGAGACATAGCTTGTTTAGCCTACAGAGAGCTTTTAGTGATTTTTTGTAGTTTAAACACTTAAGCATGTTATCAGCAGTCAATCTAATTTTTTATTCTCACATCCACTGTGCCCAGACATTGGTCATGACCTCCATTTTTATGAATTCTTAACAGTCATGAGCTGACATGAAATATAACTGTGCAAATAATTTAGTTTGAAAAAAATAGTTTATTCTTTCTCCTTATGAATTATTTAATTTTTCTTCATTCACAAAAAATTTTAATGGAAATAAACACTTGTTGGCATAATGGAAAAGTAATTAAATATGAGACAATTGGACAGAACTGTTTAAGATCTCTCTGAAATGATGACTATGAATCCTTTATATTTTTAACAGCAGTGTTCACACAATAGAGTGGGGTTTATATATACAACAATCAGAATGCGCTATCTACCATTCTTTCAATCAGAATATTTTTATGATTTTTCTGTTTCTTCAATTAAAAAGAAAATATAGATTTAAAAGTTTATGGCAAAAAATCATAATAAAATTAGTATATTTGATAAAATCCAAGGGAAGTAATGGGATCATAATCAAGTTACAAGACCTTTTATAGAATATTTATGTAGACAACAAGAATAATGTCTGCTAAGTCAATGTCACTTTAAACATATTTTTAATACACAAAGGTTAATTTAAAAAAGAAATTACTGCTGTCTTTTGCTAAAAATAATTTGGATAATTGGCTGGGGAGATATGGAAGACAAGTTTCATTACTAATGATTCTCAGGTTTAGGATGGAAGGAATAAAGAACTGTATCTACAGCTCTTGTTGATGATTAACACTGGTAGGCCAATGCTGTCAGGTAGCTATCTTTAAACCCCCAACCTGTGCCTTCTGTGAAGTTTTGTGTTTATATATGTCTTCCACAGTGACTGACTTCGTAACCCCATCCACTGACTTCCATGGCATAAAAATGTCTGCACCCAAAGACTGTATGGTCTCACCTATAAGAAGGCATTAGTTCAGTAATAGTCTATTTAAATATAGTAAAGACATAATAACTGGGGTAGATTAACTAAATATTTACTAATTTATCCTGGATTTCCTTGTCTTTTAGCTTTTTCTGTGAACACTCTCATTGTAAGGAGAGGATGAAATAGATCTGTAGACTAAAGAATATATCCTGTTCATGAATTTCTAGAAGCTACTAATGTATCATCAAATGTGGTTTATTTGGGGGAATGAAATTTTGGATGGAAAACGAAACCCCCACACTGATGGGGGCAGTATGGTGGATTACCTTCTCCTTTAATGTCACACTTTGCTAGATGTACTTTGCAGAGCAGTGAATCAGGCTTAAAGCAAGCAGCCTATACTCTAGTGACAGCACATAATGCTGCAGAGGTAAATAGTAAGTGTTATCAGCCTTCACTTTCCCTTGCAGCGCTGTCTCACGGTGCCTGATGGAAAATTTACAAAGTACATTTGCTGTTTTATAGATTGGAACTTGGGATCCAGCCAGTGGCCTGAATATGACAGAAAGTCAGAAAGGAAAGCCAGCAAACATCACAGACTCCTTGTCTAATCGTTCTTTGATTGTTACCACAATTTTGGTAAGTATTTGTTTTCAATTATTTTAAAAAAAAATACAGACAGCATGATGTAGATAGAAAAACACATTTTAATGGGCATACTAATGAACAGAATGCAATGTATCTTATAGTCATTTAGCAATTACGGTAAAACAGAGAAATCAATGTTAATTCAGTGAGAATTTTATTTTGTTAATCTTCAGTAATACAACACATATTAAAGTTGTGGCATATGTATTGATTCAAACAGCTTCAAGTATTATTGGAAATCTTTACATTTCCAGAGAATTTGTTGCTATTGCCAATGTCAGGGTTTAAAAATAAGTAGACATGCAGTTGAATATTGTTAAATGAACAGCAAAAATATATTTCATATTATATAGCAATTATTTTCCATATTTTCTATAATAATTATGCCATAACCTTGTTTTCAGTTTCATTGTTTCCAGCTGGTGTAATAGCTCTCATTTTACTAATTTCTTTTATGGAATATAATGTAAAGTTGTATTTAAAACCAGAGATATTTTTATTACCACCATAATTAAATTAACGCTGAGAAGCTAGCTATTTTATGAATATCATAATTACATGTTTTAAGTACATTATTAGTAATGGTCAGTCATGCCATTTCCAAAGGAGAATCTTAATTTTCAAATAAGTAGAAGCTCTTAGATTATTTGTCAGTATTTCCGACTTGTAGGATAGCTTACTAGTGCTATTTCTATATCTCCCTTGGCCTGAGAAAAATGAAGCTCAAGTCTCAGAAAACCCTTGGGAATAGTTAAGTAGCCAAAATCTCTAAATCTGAGTACAGTGATAAATCATGGGGGTCACAAGAAACAATATGTTAGTATTTTAGTAACAAACCGGATGTCATAATTGGAGGCATGTTAAAAGCTTTCGATAATGAAGCAGTGCTGACACCCTAAGGTTGTTGAAGCTTTACACTCCCTAGTTAAGGACTTTAGACTCTTCTGCATCATATCTAAACCTGTGAGGTCTCTTCTTCAACTTAACATTAGATTTCCTGTTATTTTCATTTTTTTTAAAAAAAATATAACTTCTATATGCATCAAACTGGAGCAATACTTCGGCCAAAAATTTGCCATAGGAAATAACACACCTGACTTCTCCATCAAGCCATTTGTCCTTGATGTCACAACTTTACGTTGGGACTGTTCATTGGACATGCAGCTATCCCTTGTGCTGATCACCATCTTCTTCTCCGCGGCTTCTTACCATAACTGTGTAATTCTACTATTTTCTACTCTCCTGCTATGCAAACTTTTAAAGAATCAGTAAAATTTCACAAATTTTAATCCTTGAAATTCAAGTCTTTGTACATCTTGATTCTTCCCAGCTTTTGTCTTGATTTTCTCTTCAGGAATTCTGACTGAACTGGGAAGCAGGTACCATCTTATTGTGATTGCTTAAACCTCGCTCTCTTTTTTTGGTTGCAAATATTCTTCTTCATTGTGACATTATTGTATTTTCCACTTACATCCAATTCAGAATTAATATTCTGCTGCTTTTTGTTTACATGAAAATCATCTTCCTAAACATTTTTGAGGGCGCCTGAGGAACATAACTTCTCTACAATGTGTATCCCACAAGGCTCACAGAGTAAAGACCACGCCTAAGACATCTGTCACTTTCAGTAAACTGGGCCTTACTAAGTTCTCCCAATCAAGCTTTCAAACATGTCTTCTATTTTCTGACTCTAAACCTTTACACAGTTCTTTATTTTCTCCTTCTGTTTCTGATTTCAATTCATAATCCTAGCCTCGTCTCTGATGCATCCATGTCTTGAAGGACTGTAACTATTCTGTTCAGTTGTGTGTGTGTGCTGGAGAAGTGGGGGAGAGGAAGCTGTGGGCTTTCCACTCACAATATTCTATTTTCTCATCTACAACGCAATAAAAAGTGTTTTTTTTAACTTGTACACATCTCTAGCTCTCTTTAATGTGAAATTAAACAATACAAAGAATCACACTTTATGTGCTTTTGAAATTACTGCTTCCAGGCTCAAAGCAAGCCTGAAGCATTTGTAATAGTTTCTGTGTATCAGGCATGGGCATTTTCATTTATTGGAGTTCCGCATATAGTATTGGTTTGCAGTGTTGCTTCATAACGACTAGTTAGTTCAGCATTCCTCCTCACTAATAAGATTATCTATCAGACACGCATGATGTATAGATTGTACAAGGATACTCTTTCTATTTAAGGATATTTCACTCCACTTGTTTTTCAAAGATTCTATTATTTCTTAAAAAAAAAAAGTAAGTCACAGAAAAGACCCCTGTGCCCAGATATTTTGGTTCTGTTGTTCTCCTTGTGGAGCTCCTGTCCTCTCCAGGTCTCACTAACTTCCCCTTCCTTCATATGATTCCCTGCACTCTGCCAAAGGTTTGGTTATAAGTCTCAGCATCTGCTTTGATACACTTAGGGTAGAGTCTTTCAGAAGTCCTCTGTGGTAGGCTCCTGTCCTGTTTCTTGTTTTCTTCTTCTTCCAATGACCATCCTGTTTGTCTTTCTGAGTGAGGATTGATAATTTTACCCCAGGTCCTAGTTCTTGTTTAGTCTCTTTAGGTGTACAGATTTTAGTATGTTTATCCTATATTATAGGTCTAGTATACAATGCAGCCACTTCTGATGAGAACTGATAGACTAAGATCAGAAAGAAGGAGAGGAGGACCTCCCCTATCAGTGGACTTGGGAAGGGGCATGCATGCAGAAAGGGGGGGGGGGAGGGTGAGACTGGGAGGGGGGGGGGAGGGACTTATGGGGGGCTACAAAATGAATAAAGTGTAATTAATAAAAGTTAAATAAAAAATTTTAAAAGAAGAGATAAAAAAATGAAAAAAAGAAAAAGATTGTTCTCTTTCCAGATATGTCTAGGTTTGTGTCAAATTCAGAAAAGCAGCAGCTAAAACCCAGTTTAAGAAGGGCTCTATTCTCAGATTTGGGCCAGGAAACAGGACAGTAACCTAACAGTATGATGATCAAAGACTCCACCGAGCAGTATATCAAAGCAGATACTGAGACTCAAAACCAACCTACACCAGCAGATAATTATACATTCTGCCTAGGTACCATACAGAGATCAAAGCATCTGCCACACATTTCAGCTTTTACAATAATCTTTTTTTTTTAAGTATCACACTATTCCAGACAATTTTCATTTTTTAAATTTCCTTCTATAATTTATTTTATGTATTTCATGTTTACGTGTATTCTGCTTGAATGTACGTCTGTGTACCATATACATGCCTGATGCTCATGAGGAACAGAAAAGGGAAATATCATCTCCTGAAACTTGAGTTACAGATGGTTTTAAGTCACCCCCGTAGGTACTGGAAACTGATTTCAGGTCTTTGACAGATCAGCAAATGTTCATAACCACTGAGCCATCTTTTACGCCCTTAACTTCCATAATAATTTTGAAGTAGATACCATGATGCACAGATTTATAGGTGAGGAAATAATGTATAGAATGTCTACATGATGAACGTTTTATACATTCTTCACGGTCACCCACCTGGAAAGTGGAGTGGAAAGCAAGATTTCCTCCAAATTATCTGGCCAGTGTAAATTGTTGATATTACAACTTGAGATTTGTAGATTTGTAGTGATATATGATGAAAAAGGAATAAAAAAAAAAGACTACAGCTATGAACGAAATAGCACAGTGACTGAGAATATTTGCCTAAAACAATTTTTATCATTATAAGGTTCCATATATTCTGGCGCAGTGTTACATCATTAATGCACATCTTTAAATAACAGCTTATTCTCCTTTATAGAAGACAGTATTTGAACATTCTTTTTAAAAATATTTTTGGCTTTCTGGTTTCTAGTATAACACAGTTTCCTTTCAGCTTGCTTGAATAGTAATCTCATATTTCCCTAGACAAAAAAAAAAAAAAAAGTCTAGGGGCTTATTACAGTTTCCTCTTTTAAACTCAGATTCAGAATCTGAGATGTTTATCAATATTTTTAGACTTTCATTTCAACAACAGGAGTTTACCCTGTGGGGTAAAATACACATTTACACTACGAAGAAAATTACTTTTTGAAATCATCGAACATTTTCAAGTACTTATCTTTTTAACATTTGAAATGGGATAGATGATGTGGTGGGTTTGAAGATGTGTGGATTGAAAGTTGTCCACCTCCAACTCAGGTCTCCTCACTTTCCGCTTTTGTACTATGCTTTCTCACACTATGGTCTTCAGATTTGAAGTGTAATTATTTTTGAAAGTCTCTTGTTTCTCTCTCCATTTTAGGCGCCTTTTCTCATTTAGGATCCTTTATGTGAGCGCATGGGGACTGCCTGTTTTTCCTAGGTTCTTTACTTTCATCTTTTCCTATCTACATATGCTAAATATGTTGAGTGCTTCCTACTGTCTTGCTTTGTCTAAGAACTGATTTTTATCCATCAAGGATACTCACCATTCAACACCCCTGTGCATTTACTTCCCTTTCACTGCTATCACTTTTGTATAGAAATAACAACCCCGAGAAGCAGACTTCTCAGAAAATATTTACTTTCTGGGAGACTCTTCCCACTTGTTCAAGAAATATAAAGAAATGTGCATGCCCCTACGACTTAGTCTTATTTCCTTCAATACTCTTGAGTTTATTTCCCTGAGCACTCTGGAGAGTTGTATATTTTAATCTCCAGTTTACCTGCTTAAGTTTCTAAAGATTTTTTAATTTTTTTTTACTTTTTATTTATTTATTTATTTTTTTACTTTTTCACCTCATGACCTTTAGACACAGACTTATCTGGTAAAAAATATCCAGATGACAATAGAAGGGTTCAGGGTACAACAGAGAGATGTGACCAAGACATAACCTAAATAGTTTTGCAGCTTTTATCGAAATATCAACAAAAGCAGGTTTGTACAGCTACTGTCAATGACTTTTCCCTCTGATCCTTCCTTTTGTGTTGTCAGAAGAGGTCTATCAAGTGTGAAAATCTCCTCAGAGAGTTACATAGCATTCAGGCTTGGAAATAC